GGGGGGGAAGGAACTTGCAGCTTTCATGTTATTTTGGCAATTGACCTTTTGCTGGTTTTGTTAACTTTTCTCTCTTGTGATTCATTAGGATTCATGGGATCGTGGAATACCTCAAATCAATACATTGTTCCAAGAGTTGAAGCACAAAATGTAAAAGTAAAGATACAGAATCAAGGGAACCCAATATAAGTTGTAGGACAAAATTTGACCATGGAAGAAAATAGTAATTAATTTTCTCCATGAATCACAGTAGGAACTAGGAAGTATGATTACACACACACACACACAGAGATACATATAGAGAGAGAGAGAGATTAAGAACACCAGATGTATAGATATACTAACAGGCCAAAAACTGTATAAGGCATTACCACTCCCTGCTAACTGTCCGTATGAGAAAACAATAGTAGCTAATTATCTCCTCCAAGTATGATATTACGACAATCTAGATGTTGCAATCTCTGAGTCCTACAGGTGTTAATCTTAGATTCATCTAATTCCAGCTGCCAAATAATTCTTAATATATTGATGTTATTATAATCAGCTTTAAATATAAAGTCAATTTTGTATTAGCTTTCACGGTTTAATTATTGGTATATCTTCTCTTGCAAATTACAAAGGTCATGAGACCACACACGTATAGAGATCTTGGAATCCCAACAAAAGACACTTGCTGCTATTTAGTCTCTTCTCAGCTAAAGTAGAAGATGCAAGCTATAGAAACAACCTATGATCTAAGATTTAGTAGGAATAAAATGGCCAGATAAGGAGAACATAACAATTAACATCTGATCCGAAATATCAATTTAACCCAAAAGAAATAGACAAATAAGTAAACGAGTTTTTAATGCGACCAAACCCAAAAGAAGTGTGGATACAGACCTCACCAGCTTTAACCAATATAAATGAGCCAACTTCCAGGTCACTCACTGGAACTTCACTGTATGTCAAGTCAGCAAAACTAGGCAAAGTTTGATTGTCAACATGCAGCACAAGAGCAAATTCTGGATGGTTTTCTTTTAATTCCTTTACGTCACCCTTGGAGCGACTAGTGAAGTAATCTTCAGCTGCACTGACAGTTATGTCTTAGATAAAAAAGTTCAAGTCCTCCAGAGGACATCTTCAAATTGTTTTACTTACCTATATGAGCCAAATTAAACATTGCAAGAAGCAAGCCACCTTCCAATATGTTCCCCATAAAAACTGATGCAAAAGCTGCAAGAGCCATCAGTACATGAATATTTATTTTGCCACCAGTAATGTCCATTAATGCATCAAGTGATGCTGAGACCTGACAATAAAGTGAAATTATAAATATGGGACTTTCCAAAGGAATTAAAATGTTTCATCATGAGAGAACAAGTAGTAATTGCACTTCTTTACACATGGATTTACACATATTGATATCCACAATACGCGTTGCCTAAACTGCAAGATCATGAGGACTTAAAGATCCTAACTTCAATTGTTCCAAATGCAGTGTACTTACACATCTTCTATTCAGCAATAATTCGCAAGGGCTAAAGTACATAGTCTAAAATTTGTGACTCATTCACTCCCTATTCTTTGAAAGGTTGCAGGTCGAACAGAGTCACTCCTAGGGTGAAGATCATCATACAGAAAAATGGATTGAGCTGGCTAATCACTCTAACAGATTTTATGACTTAAATCATAATTCTCCCACTCAATTAATCTCATTATAATGACTGGATAACCATTGTTTTTCCTCTTTTTCTTGCTTTAGTGGTCCATAAATAGCCTCAATAAAGCATTTGAATAGGAGATCATCTCCTCGTATCTCTATAGTTAAAATAGTATCCCTAAAGTTTGTATTGTAAGCTAAGACTGCATTAAGAAATTATTCAATCAATTAGACAAGTCAATTGTAGAGTATAACTGAAACCATTTGAGTATAAAAAATATGAAGATTAAAGCTAGTTGAAAGAGAAAAGACATAAATACCCCAACGAGAGGAAAGGCAATGAGAGTGAAAACACGCTGGAGAGGCAGAACGGCTGGCTGGGGAAGAAAGTAAGGGCAAGCAGCGGCAGCAATAAACAAAGCCGCAGAGCAACAGCAAAGCTCTAAATGCTCTCTCAATATATTCGCCAAGTGGGTCCATCTGATAGCTCTAGCGAATTTGAGAAATAGCTCCTGCGATTTCGTAAGTTTCCCGTCGTCATGACCATGATGGTGATGGTGATGATGATCATGGCTATGGTCATGGTGACTGTGGCCACAGTTACAAGCAGCGCAGTGGATGCGACTGCGGAACTGAGTGGAGCTCCGAATTGAAATTGAAGGTTTGGGTTTCAATGAAGAGAGCAGGACATTTCGGTTGACTTTAATTCTCCTTCTAGTTTTGTAAATTGAACAATTGATCCCTGTGAATGAAGTTGAAAGACGCAGAGCTTCCATTTTGTTGCTGAATATTTTCACCGAATCTTCTCTATTTCTCAATCAATAATAATGGGGGTTTGGGCTCTTTTGCTATTTTGGAGTGTGGCTATTGTTGTATCATCTACACCACACTATGTGCTCCCTTCTGGGTTACCGTCCTACGCTACGCTCTCTCTAGTCTCTAGTCAGGATCTACTTGTCAAGATCTTGTGCTTTTGGGACCTGTTTGACGATTTTGGGTTAGCTCAGCACGCTTTTGTCTATCAAAAATGTATGGCCATATTTTGTTGTCAAAATAATTTAGCCAATTCTAACGTATTCATCGAGGGTGCACGTTTAATATGTTGCCTATTAGAATATAAAAACTCTCTTCGTATAGGATAGTATAATATAACAAGAAACTAGTCTTACTCATATTTGAATATAATAGGTTGTATAATCACTGGTATCTATGTGAGTTTATTTTAAAAAAATTTAATTCGGTCTCCGCCTAAATTCACAAAATATATTTTAAAACAAAAATTCAAATTAACTTTCATTTTAGTATACCGACCTCCACCCACCTTTATGGTCGAAAGACAGAATTTAAATCATGTTTTTCATGTTATTCCAAATTAGCGAGGTAAATTTTTTTTAAAACTTCACTTTTGAACTTTGTGGAATAGCATGAGCATCTTTAATTTTTTCAGTATTAAGTTGATCTATTTGGGGTCCAGTCCGTAAATTAGCTAGCGTTTGGCCATAGATTCCAAATTTGTTTTGAAAAATCTGATTTGGGTGAAGTTTGGTTTGAAGATGAAAATGTGTTTGGATATACGTTTTCAAAACATATTTTCTAACTTTTTTTGGAAAAACATGTATATAATTTCCAAATTTTGAAATTTTGGCCCAAAATCAGCAATTAGGGTTATTTTGAGATTTGGGGTTTGAAATTTGAAATTTTGTCAAAAGGTGGGCAAAATTTATGGCAAAACATGAGTTTTAAAAATAAATCCCAAATTTATTTTGGCAAAACTCATGGTCAAACGGGGCCTTAGTGTTCAGCAGTTCAGCTCCATATATCCCTTTACCAGTGAGTTACTTTTAAAAAGTCAAATCATGTAAATTTTTCCTTTATTCCTCCTATCTGTTGTTATATCCCTTTCCAGTCACATTCTAACATGGACGAGCTAAGCTCTTTAGTTATCATTCATCTAAATGACTCCATGCTCATTTTTAGCTATACCTTGACGATACCTTTTAACACATTAATAGCACGTTTGGCCAAGCCGCAAAAATCAGCTTATTTTGATAAGTACTTTTTTTCAAAAGTGTTTTGCTCAAAAGTACTTTTGGTGAAAAGCAATTTGTGTTTGGCTAATTAGTTTGAAAAACACTTCTGAGCAACAATTAGTGTTTGATCAAGCTTTAAAAAACTATTTCTAAGTATATTTTTCTCAAAAGTGCTTCTCAAAAAAGTGCTTTCGAGAGAATACTTTTTTCTGTTTCTCCAAAACTGCTTCTGCTTCTCCTCAAAAGCACTTTTTTTCCTTCCAAAAGCTTGGTCAAACACCTCAATTTTTGGCCAAAAGTGCTTTTGGCAACAAAAAAAAAATACTTTTGGTCAAAAAGAAGTTTGGTCAAACAGACTATAAATGTTGGACATAAATGTTATACATTTTTTTAATGAAAATAACTGAATCTTGCTAAACGAGTTCCGCCCTTGAAGCAGAAGTGAAAGGAGACTGTCCAATCTGAGTATAAAATAGCAACAAACCCTTCCAGTCCCTACGCTATGGTGAAACTAAATGGTACATTGGCTGCTATAAATTGTAAGTGAAGTACAAGATCTAGGGATCATCTACAGTTTTTTATGGCACTCAACTCTACAGGTGCACACAATTTAACAACAATCAGTAAACTATCGTTATAGGCAGGACTTTCCTCTCTTAAGTTGCTCACCTGACTGTTCAAGTCGAAAATGAATGGCACTCCAGAAAAGAAAAAATGAATGATCTACTGTTACAGATCACAACACACAACAACAAACAGTTTGCCTATATTTGCAAGCCATCACCTGTAAGCATATGGCATGTTCAAGAAATACTGCTCATGCTTCTGATGTGACTCATTCCGGCTATGGTTAAATTGGTAGACCGGTCAACTTTCTTTATCATTACCACTTCCTTCAGAAGCTTTGGGACCATCATAAGCAGATAAGAAAAAAGTACCCTGGTTTTTCTGCAAAAACCTGTAACAAACGCATACACAAAATAAAAGCTCATCGCAAAATAATACATCAATACAATAGGTGTTTCCTGAATCCATGTCATCTTGGAAACACTACATCCCTGCCAGGAAAAACTACAATGGAATTCATTAATGTTGCTGTTGAACTGGTTCTTACAGAAGGCAGAAACAATGGATATCTTTTATTCCTTTTTTATTTTTCATCAATTACAATAACAAAAGCACCCTTCCCTTCTGTTGATCATTTATAACAAATCTAATGCAACTCCTTTTCAGGCACATTACCGTAGTAAAGTTAACAATCCAATGTAAGCTAGTGAAATTTCTGCCTGGGTGCTTTCTAGAAGAGAATAGAGAATCATGTGATTAGACCAATAACTTTAAAAAAAAATACTAGCTAAGACTAATGCAGCAATTATCTAATTAAACCCTTCTTAAACTCTTCAACTTGTTGCTGTTTACTAGGCAGCAGTTCAATCATAAAATAATTCCAAAACATATTATAAAAATAAAAACACTGATAGAAGGAAGTAAAGGAAAAAGAGCATATACTTGAGAAAGTCTAGCAATTTCTGCTGCAAGCGAATCAATGTCTCCTCTTCAATTTTTACATATGCAAGTAACTCAGGCAATTTTACTGCAACATCAGAAACAAATTAAGGTAGGACTTTACAAGTCTCGAGGTTTCATATAAAATATATTTTAAGTTCATGTGAACACATTTAAAACACTGCTGAACATATTTTGTTGAATTGAGACCTAGAGGATGGTTCACAATCTTATCAAAACATTTACTTTTGATAAGTAAAGATACACAAGCGTACAGACAAACATACGAGGATCCTCTGCAGTATGATATTTTTTAAGGTTCACATATCTCTATCTTGGGGTTAATTCAAAAAACGGTGAACATTTAGTACTTCTTCATACCAAAAAGACGCAACAGATGTTCAGCACCATATACACTAGATGGAGAGACATTATCTGAAACTGCTTCATGATACTGTTGGCGCTCCTTCTTGTACAATAAAATAACGGGCAGTGCTTTGTCAAAATAACATCGAATTCCATTCAGTATCTCCCCAACTGAATCAGTCATCCTGCATGTATATTTGGAAGACAAGGATTGGCAGATATATTAAAGAGCAAACTACACCTCCAAGATAAATGCATTTTATTTGCAATCACTGCTCATGCAAAGGTACTTGTGAATAACCTCACAATTTAGCAATAAACCAACTACTAGCTTGACATCCGGTAAGCATAGTTTAATGAACTGACAATATGAAACACTAGGCTATGGGTCCTTAAGGAAATACTGGGGTGGTTTGATAATTTCTTCATCCTGCATGAGTTTTCTTATGGAGTTACCTTTTGAAGGAACCAATATATTCCGACATTGACCATGCAGACTACAGGATGCCATAGCTCCCATAGAAGAATTGTAGGGATGGAATTCAATATACTTAAAGTCTTAAACTTTAACAATCAAAAAGAATGATAGGGATGGAAGAACGAAATAAAGATGCATAACGTCAGCTCAGCAATAAATACACCCTTACATGAAAAGAAAAAGACAAAGCACTTACATCCCGTCCTTTTTGGATCGGTATTCAAGGTACTTGGTCAATATATCATCAACAGTGGGAGATCGTGGGAGCTTCACAAGCTGCAAAGAACACATCCGACTTCATCATATAGCAATTAGGTATAGCAACCAACATCAATAACTAACATCGTCAGAATATAAATGAAAATTATTTGCACTTGTACATTTTAAGTTATTGAAAATTATTTGCACTTTTAGTACTATCGTTCTAACTTTGCAGTTTTGAAGAAGTTATGGTACTACATTGATCCAAATGCTAAAGGATTTTAGGACTTGATGTAATAAAAATGTTAAATAATATCTGGCCTACAGAATATTGATTTTTATGCTGAAGGTTAGTTTAAAGGTTGGTTGTTGGGGGCTTGAGCATATATGGCAAGATGGGCCTCACAGAAGCAGGCCCAATAGCCTTGGTGAGGTCATAATCCTCTTTCATTCATAGCCACAAAAATCATTCAATGTCAACGAAGAAAAGAAAGTTGATAAACTCCAGCATGCCATTTGTAGGGAAGAATACAGATGTGTGGCTGGGCAGATCAATGTCATGTTATCCAATATGAATTATTCTAATCCCAACAGATCCGGTTCAGATTAGCAGGGAGGAACTCAGTCTAGTAAATCAGCATAGATCTCAGACAAATAAGGTATAGCCATCTATTTGTCAGCGTTCTTTTTGGGATTTCAGGTTGAGATAAGATAAGTCAGCAATTCTACTTCTAGTTGATTGCTCTATCATGGGTTTCCCATTATACGTGGCTATGGTCACTCATCTATGCTCCAACCCTTAACAGTAGAAAATGCTTTACTAGCATCCACAACACGTCTGATACTAGACTCGATTGGAGCACGCCCCCGCTAATCAACTTTAATAGTATGTTTTGAGCTATATTACTTGATAAAAAGACAAATAGAAGTCCATCTCCACGAAACACGGGAACTCAAAAAAGAGCAATCCAAGGTTATATTTTTGTGCCCTGAGTAGGTCCAGTTTCAATAAAGGCCTCGTGCAAGTTTATTCCAAACGAGTTTTCTATCAGCTGCAGAAACAAACAGCTTATTGGTCAGCAACTAGGAACTTCTCACTGAATAGTTGTCACTGTCACTTGTTTGGGAAGCGTAGTAGTCATTGTTGTTGTTGTCATCACTTGTGTCTTAGTCTGTTACTGAGCTTGATAAGACAGATAAACCTAGTCATGATCCTACATATATGTACCTTATTTTGCTGCGTGATGAACTCCCAATCATCAACCAGTTGCTTCTTCAAGGTAGATGGAATCTGAATCTTCACAAGTTTCTCTGCAGATACATTGCCCTTCTGCCATCAAATATCCAAGTTACAAACCAATCTATGATTATTTAAAAGCTAATCCAGCACATCATCAACAAGAAGAAACCTCCCCATGATGGCAAATAATGGCTGAGAAACCTTTTAATAACAAATGTCTTCACAGGCAAACGAAGTGA